TTTGGAATGTACCAATAGCGTACCATAGCGTACCTTCAAGGATTTTGAACGTACCTCAAAGCTTCCCGGAAAACCCGTGTCCCGCTGGATAGACATACGATTTCAGCAATGACCGAGTCGATCGACCAGATTTCTACGGAAATGTGACGTACCAAATGCGTACTTTACGAATCTGTCATTCATTTTTAACGTACCTCTTATTTTAACTCAAATGCTTATACTAAACTTTTCAAATCGTTTTATATATGAGTTCTGGGCACGATTTCATTTAGAAAATTTGTTATTTTTAAAATAATATTATTTTTTTTATTTAAATCTCTGGTAAATTCTATCAGAAAGTGAATTCCAGTTAGGTACGTTTGTCATGATCGATCAGAAAGTTATCAAGGCTTTTCTTATTATGGAGTTTTCATGAAATTAACGGTTTTGTTCGAAATTAGTATATTTTTAAAGGATGCAAATTAAAAAAAAACTGTTTTTGGTCCTCAAATTGGCTAGAATGCACTTAAGTATAGTGTTTTTATATGAAATCGGACTTAAATTTTCCGAGGAATCCAATTCTAAGCCCAGAATTCATATATAAAACGATTTGAAAAGTTTAGTATAAGCATTTAAGTGAAAATAAGAGGTACGTTAAAAATGAATGACAGATTCGTAAAGTACGCATTTGGTCGTCACATTTCCGTAGAAATCTGGTTGATCGACTCGGTCATTGCTGAAATAGTATGTCTATCCAGCGGGACACGGGTTTTCCGGGAAGCTTTGAGGTACGTTCAAAATCCTGGAAGGTACGCTATGGTACGCTATTGGTACATTCCAAAACACGTATCAACTTTGAAATTCGTTAAGTTTGTCCCGCTGGATAGATTGACGTGGGTTATTATTACTATTTCATTACTATTATTTATTTATTACTATTTTATAATGTTGGGGTTATTCCCAGAGTGAAGTGAGAAAAGTCATGTCATGGTGACGTTACTCTCCATTTGATTTTCACAGAGCGTCACTTCACCACGACATAATTTTTCTCACTTCACTAGTGACACACGTCTCTTCGACTCTCGAAATAACCCCCGTTATCTAACTTTTTTCTTTCAACAGATATCGGTTTCAATACATAAGCGTTGGAAGTCCTGGGCGGTGTAATGATTCCAAAATTTTCGAAAAATCTAAACTCAAGACAGCGTTTGAAGATCCAATTTTGAAGCACCATTCAAAAATTATTGGTGGAGTTCATGTACCTGTGCTGTTAATCGCCGATTCTGCATTCCGTTTATCGGAAAATGTCATGAAACCCTACCCGTTTCGTGCAGACGCTACGGAAAAGGAAAAAAACTTTAATTATGCACTGTCAAAAAATAGGCGGGTTGTGGAAAACGCCTTTGGGCATTTGAAAGCACGATTCCGACGTGTTGGAAAAGGAATAGATAGCCACATCGATAATGTAACGCTGATAATAAAAGCTTGCTGTGTCCTTCACAATTTTTTGAACAATCAAAATGATGCTATTAATCAGCAATGGCTACAACAACTACAGAACAAGGAACGTGAAACGAATTGGGAAATGCCAGAACAAATTGTGATACTTACAGATATAAACCCATCTGCGCAATCCATTTGAGAGGCGATTGCGAATTATTTGAGTAAGTAAAACTAATGTTTTGCCTAAAAACCTCTGAGTGAGCAAATCCTACATTAAAAATTGTTTTATTTCTTCAAATAATTATCAGTTGCTCAGGAAAATTTTGACATCATATTAATGAACGTCTCATTGAATAGCTTCGCGTGTTCGTTCATCTCCCTTAGCAGTTCGTTTCTTTCGGTTTCTAAACCAATTAATCTCTCGTCAGTCTCTCGAACACGCTCAAACTCCGCTTGTATTATTGCGTTGCTCCTCTTCACCTCATCGAGAATGTCCTGATTGACGATCTTTTTTTTTCTTCACAGCTGAGCGTCCCAACGACGATGGAGATCTAGATGAAGATGGTGTCGGAAGGATCTCCGATCCACTACAAGGGTGTTCATTCTCCAACCATTCTTCGGTCGCATCTGAAATGTAGAAACATAATAAACAGTTTTAATGATAAATGCATTGAATTACATGTGGTATACTGAAAAACAGCTAATAAATGCCTAATTCAAATTCTCTTCGAGAAATGAACCGTCATGATTTTTGGAAGGATCAAAAAAAGAAAAAATCAACAAAAATTTTTACTAATTTTTTACTTACAGTTTAGGGAAGGTCCAATAATTATGTCACGCAAATTTGGCCCATTTTAAACCCCCCACCCCCCTCTGTCACAGTTTTTGTATGAACCTTAATTTTTTTGTATAACTCGTCACAGCTTCCAACCCCCCCCCCCCCATCGCCCCTTAAAGTGTGACATAATTAATGGTCGATCCCTTAGCTCAAAAATGTACAAAACATTATTGATTGAAATGTAAATAAATATTCGTGTTTTCGATCTTGTTACCACATCGCTTGGTATAAAAAACAATCTATCATATAAACTAATCATAATATTGAATGTGAAACGAAAGATTCTCGTTACTTAATATATAATTTTTTTTTCTTTGTATTAGCAATTGTTTCATTCGACAAAGTTGGTAAGTTATTATAAATTAATTAAAACGACCTTCAACTGAATGGAGGCATCCCACACTTAGTGCCTTAATTAGATCTTTGTTATGTATAATTTCATTACAGTTTGTGAAACAGACAGCTTATATGGAAGAAATGTTCAAGCTGGTAGTTCAGGAAGTTTGGAGTGGATACCTAACTGAGATCGACAATCCGCTGCAACACCGAAGGTAATCGATCTATCGATGAAGTTAATCCACTCAGCATAATCCTGGTCAAATCGAACAGCCAAAGCAAACGCTACTTTTTCACAATATTCACAACATAGCCCAGCAGTTTCAGACAAGCGTGGCTTTAGTTCGGAAGACTCCTGAATTCGGCAGTAAACAATGCGGACGTTTTCTTGCAGAAATAGCAAAGTTCGACTGTTTGATCGAGAATGAATATTACTAGGTGAGATTTCGAAGTCTAGAACACATAATCAATAATCTTATAACTTCGTGTGTTTTTCATCAAATCGCTAGAACGACCACTTATCGCTAAAAAAATGAAGGGCATGGAGGATTCGTCTATCCAGAAGTGGAATAGGATACCATAAGTGGAGGCCCGAGCTTTTTGAGGAGTTGAAAGGTTGATTTTCAAGGTGAGTTTTGAGAGGTTTGTTTTAATGGTGATCTTTTGTTGCAGTGATTGAATCATTTCTGGTACACCGCCTTCGAGTTAGCACCACTGAAGCCACTAAGGATGCCATAAATCGCTGCACCAAGGGAAAGAATTTCGTCAGCCGATCCGAAGTTTGTTCAGACGAAAATGGAATATGAATCCAGGAAGCCAGCTCTGCCGACAGAAGGACGGTTTAGGGTGCTGTGGATGCACGGGTTAAGTATGTTCGCTTTACAAAGATCTTCAGGAAGGCCAAGAGTACTCAGGGAATAAGTGAGGAGAGCGTCAGAAGATGAAACGTTACATTGAAATGTGTCAGACTGTACTCAACTGCGTTTGAAATCTCATAGATAAAAGTCTAATCAAGAGCTAATAGATCCCGACGACAGTTCGGTGGTGTATGTGAAACGGAAGACATTCACAAAAACGATACCGTGTAGTAGGAATACCGACTGTAATATAAAATACTAGAAGAGTAGATATGCAAGAGCACTGCCGGGAGAGCAGATGTATATATAGGAAAAGATTCATGCACTAATCGTTATGAGCTAACTAATTAAACTCACCGCCGGCATCAGAAATGCTCTCTTCTACAACTTCTTCCACATTGTGGATACGGAAGCTGCCTAGAATTCGATGCACTTCCACATAATACGGCCGCTTTGAAGGCGACCCTCCAGATGGCCCAATCAGATTTTTCTCTTTCCTGGAAAATATTTGAAACTCGAATTTTCACATAATATAATTGATTAACTTTCCTTACCTGTATCTAGCAGTGAGATTGTGCATCCTGATTTTTATCTCCTCAGCAGAAACCGTAAACCCATGCTGCTCGAACGTAATCCGCATCTCCTCTACCACATGACTATTTTTTGTTGACCCACGAAGGTCGTTGATTTTATCCTCCCATAACTCGAACAGCAGAGACATTTGAGCTACTGCCCATACATTCCGCTTGCTTTTGCTGCGTTTCTTGTTGGCTCCATTTTCTTTAATTCAAATTAAACTCAAGTTGCGATTGAAGGAGGAAATTGATAAATACAACTGAAGGAGGCAAATGAGAAAATTGATTGGGAACATGCATGCGTCAAATGGACTGTAAACAAAAATATCGCCCAGTGCTATGTAGGCCGGGATGCCAACTACCACTTTTCCACATTATATTACGAAAGGAACGTGATATACGCTATATCATGCTTCGTGTGTAATATAGAATGACAGCTTATTTATATGGGATATTACTTGATATCGAGCGTGATATAGCTGCTATATCACGAATCACTCTATATCAAGTAATATAGAGCGTAGTGAGAACGTAGTATTACACGCTGCTTAACGGAGAGCCATTGTAGTGCATCCAACATTTGCCTTACCGATGTTACCGATTACAGTACACAAGTTCAGATCTAGCATTTCCAGCCCATAAAAGCTTGTAAACATTTGGTGGCACGTTGTAAGAACCGGCACATACATTTTACTACGCATGTGCACACAAGATGCCACTACGATTGTAAACAAACAACATAATATTCCTTACGGTTTGCTCCTAATAACACCATCAGTTCGCATTACTTACATCAGAGATCATACGCATGTGAAGCACGTGTTTTTTTTTATATGCTTGTGCTAGTGATCATTGCGATCGTATACTGTCTAACACTACCGCAACAATCATCAGCTGTTTCCGATAGCAGAGGAACGTCAAAAACCTCTATCGATCAGCACAACAAGCTACCTATATTCACACTACCGCGAGTGCCCTCTCCAAACCACATTCGTCGTTCGACGCGACGTTCAGTCAGTACAAAGTTTTGATCCGTGCAGCCGGAGGTGTTTATGTAAGTGGTCGCAGTGGTGTTATGTCCCGAACAGAGGAAAAAAAAAAAAGTGTTCAATGTTGATAATCGAGTGTGATATTAGAGGATTAATACAATCACCCAATTACTGATAACGGTGATGACTTGTGTGAATCAACTAAATTTTTCTGATTCGATGAGACTTGGCGCGAAGTCATATCGATATCGGCATTAGAGAGATAGGACTTCTATCTATTGTGCCGCTCATCGTAAGTCGGTCCCATTTGCGTTTATGTCAAAACTGAGTTTTCCAATGTAAATAGTAGTTAATTACCCATATTTTCATAATACTGGATGAACTCAACAACTGGAAAAGTTTGGAAATACAGCTGGTTGTCCTAGTGCTTAACAAGCAATGTTACGAAGCAAAGTTAAAATGCGTTTTCCCGGCTTACTGATTTGTGCTATGGGACGGACTTGCCATGAGCGGCAGCATATCGCTATGCATATGTTCGTGAATACTGATATGTTGTGGAAACTGCAAAGTCTGCCGTGAAAAGGTGACCATTAGTAGCATGGGTGCTGTGTTACAAATGTTGCAATTGTAATTATAATTGTTCAGTGCATATTCTGTGCCTTCCACTAAGTTGGCGAATCCATACACCTACTGGCCTTCCCATTTGCACTTTCAGCTCAGGCGATACTCTAACTAACAGGAGAGGCTCAACTGTCCGGTCAGGTTTTTTTTCTTCCTTTATTTAGGATATTTTTAGCCGTAGGCTAGTTCATCTCCGTAAAGCTTGGGAAACCTTAGAAAGAGGTCCCCCAGCCACATTGCTTGAGTATCATGCTACTTCAGCCTTTGATAATCTACTTAGCTCTAACATTTTAAACAGTTAGTACAATAGCACAGTAAACAGCATACAAAAAAGACAGACAGGATATAAAGTGAAAAAACAAAACCAATAACAAAACATAGGTCCACTGTAGGAGGTCCTTGGGGGCCCCGTCCAGTGGGGGATATGTCCGGACGGCCGAAAGAATCGATGGTGCTTATTCCTGCAGTATAGCTTCGCCGCCTTCAAAAAGCGCAGTACAGCTGCTTGAGTTGAGGGCACGTCTGCTAGCGTGTCCCGTACGCTGGCAGGCAGACCGTGGAGGCAACGAAGGTGCTCGAATTGTGGACATACGCATAACACGTGCTCCACCGTCGAAGGAATATGGCAGAATTCACAGGTCTTCCTGAAGGGTCCTCCGCTGAAATCATGTGAGATTAGGGAGTGTCCTGTCCGGAGTCTGGAAAAAATCCTCTGATCTCGCAGGTTTGCAAGGTCCGTCCACTTTCCGATGTCACCTTTAATTTTTCTAATAAACGGAAGTCTGGCACTGGACCATTCCGTTGCCCACGCTGTCCGCACTGTGCAAGTGATCCATCTCTTCACGTCCTGCAACGGTACCTTGTGCGAGTACCGAGGACCCGATAGGCCTGATCCGGCTAGGTTGTCCGCCGCGATGTTCCCTGGGATCCCGCAGTGTCCGGGAATCCATCCGTATGTAGTGTTTGATGGCGCAACCTTCAAGATGCCCTGGATCCAGGGGTGGACCGGGACCTCCGACGAAAGGGCCTGAATAACACTGTGGGAGTTTGACAGGATCAGGATTGGGCGATCCGCAGAAACCGTGACGGCATGAAGAATAGCCGCTGCTTCTGCCGAGAACACCGAACATTGTTTTGGCAGACTTCTACTCGTTGGGGAAATGTCACCAGCGATTCCCATTCCGACTCCAGCTCTACACGCTAACTCTACAAGCTAACCCCGAAGTACCCATTAATGAGTAAAAAAGTACCCATTTCAAAGAAAAGTGGCTTAACTCATGTTATTTTGATTTAAAAATTATAGTTGTGCTCAGAAAAGCAATCTCTTTCAGATGATGTATAGTAACCGATATATTTTTATTTTTAAATTAAAGAAACCAATTTGTCATAACATAACAATAACCACGATACGTTGGCAAACTAAAAATAAAATAAAATATTTTTTATTAATTATTGCATTTGCCAATGGGGCAGATATGAGAGTACTTAAAATTCAGCATAATTTTCCCATGTGTACATATATGATAGTCCGTAGAACATGAGACAGTTATGCGTCCACCGGCTTTATATTGACCAAATAAAAATCATTATTCACTAACATTACTGGCATCAACCGGCCAATGAGTCCTGGATTCCTTTTCATTCGAATTCTGTATACATTTCCATTTTGCTTTATACGGCCAATGAGATCAACCCAAATTTAAGTCCAGTTTACTGATAATCGCAAAAAGTGCAGGAGCTTAGTGATGAGTAAATTTGCCTTGAGTAAAACCTCAAAAAATCTACCCGAAAATGAGGAAAATTGACGGAAATTTTACTCAGTATAGTAGTAGTACCAATTGATTGATTGATTGATTTATCTTTATTAAGGAGGCTTTCAGCCTGAGGCTGGTTCGCCTCCACAGTACCAATTGACTGAGAAAATCCAATATTTACTTTTCTCATAAGGCCGGAACAAATATCAAGTTTTTCTTTTGTCATCCCCCCTTCAAAATTTTGGAATATCACCAAGGGGGAAATAAAATAAAACTTTCAGTGTATATTTATTTTTCGCAAATTCATTTAGGTATGAATCCTCGCTTTGCTAGATTTTATTATGTTGTTGTTGTATCACCTTGTTCTTGACCAGTACGGCATGACAGGTCCTTGAAATCGGATCAGCCGGTTTCAGTTGTTGAAAACGGATTTTATCGAACATCATTCCTAATCTTGTTTGGCTACTCACTAGGTAAGCCACCTTCAATCTGATCAATCCCTCTTGTTCGTTGCCCACATCTTCGTTTTGTCCCAGTCGGATCACTACAAAGAACCATTTTCAGTGGTTCGTTATCCGACATTATTACGATGTGCCCAGCTCACCGTAGTCGCCAGATTTTTGCATTCGATCTACATGTCTTAACTTACAAACCTTCTGCAATGATACTTAATGATTCACTTCTTTTCTACAGTGATTCAATAATTTCCGAGCTAAATCCAATCTTTTCAAAATTGGTATAACATTTTTAGAAGTGAGACCAAATCAGAAACGATTCAGGAAATTCCTAACTGAGGTGACACTTTTCAAAGCAGATTCAAAACTGAGTCTGAACTTTTTTGAAGTCCCAACAAACATTGGATGCAGAATAAGAGTTTCTTCAGGGAAAAATATGCTTCTTCAGCTAAAAAATTGCTTATTCAGCCTTTGTTCAGCACAAATTGTTTTTTGGGGTGAGTTCAAACTTTCGAATATTTTTCTAACTGAGTCTTAACTGTTCTGTTATGTTATTCAATCCTTTTTAAAGTTGTCAAAACTTTCCTGAAGTGATTCAACATATTCCAAATCCAATCTTGAATGAATTGGTTTCGCATTTTCTGAAGTGAGGCAACATTAGCTGATTAATCCTTTTCCTAAATGAATCCAAGGTTTCCTGCATTGATTCAACTTTTTCCGAACTGAAACCAAACTAGTCAGAACGGGTTTGATATTTTTCTAAGTGAGCTCCAGATTTTTGTTAACTGCTTTGGCGTTTGGCAACGACACAATCTTGCAGTCTTTTCAGAAGTGAACCGACAATTTTTTTAGCTTAAATTTTCCAAATGGTCTCCAACCTTTTCTGAAGTGGTTCAAAACCTTCCTTAGGGAGTCCAAAATGTTCTGTTGAGTGATTGAATTATATTGAATGTTAGTCTGAGCTTCACTTCAGGTTTAACTAGCTTTTAACGTAGATTCCACTCCCTTAGATCCCTTCCCCGATTTTGTGAGATTCACATCCTTTGAAAATTAGGCTGAGATTTTAAAGAATGGACCTTCGTGTGTTCATACCTGATGGTAGTTTTTTTTTAAAGCAAGCAAAATTGTTGAGAAAACTGGGTTTACATCCACAAAAGTACGCATTTTTATAGAAATTTGGGTTTCTTGATCAGCCACGTTGGATTTTGGCTCCGTCCTTTGAAAAACAACCTTGGATGTTGTGGAATAGATCTTTGTGAGTTCATACGTGATGGTAGATTTTTTTAAAGCTAGGTTGGATTTCGGTTCAATCTTTTGAAATTTGTGCTTGGATTTTATAGAATGGAACTTGCTGAATACCGGAAGGACGAACCTGGTTAATATTCACAAAAGAAGGTATTTTTATAGAAAATTATTTTTTCTGTTTTCCGAACTCAATTTTGGCTTCTATCTTTGAAAAATATGCTTGTATTTTAATAGAAGTTGCTGATTCCATACGTGAGGGTTGAATTTCTTCAATTTTTGAGAATACCGAGTTTAAATTCACAAAAGTACGTATTTTCATAAAAACTTTGATTTTCTGTTCTGCTAAGTTGAATTTCGGCTCCAATATTTGAAAATAGACTTGAATTTTATAGAATGGACTTTGCTGAATCCATACGTGATGGTAAATTTTTTGAAGCATGCACAATTTTTTAGATAACTGGGTTTGAATTCTCAAAAGTAAGTATTTTTATAGAAATTTGGGTTTCTTGTTCAGCCAAGTTGAATTTCGGCTCCTTCCTTTGAAAAATAGGAATGGACTTTACCGAACTGCTGAATCCATCCGTATTTTCATAGAAATTTGGTTTTTCGGTTCTTCCAAATTGCATTTTGGCTCATATCTTTTAAAAATAGGCTTGTATTTTTTAGAATGGACCTTGCTGAATTTATACGTGAAGGTTGAACCGGGTTTGTAATTCGAAAAGGTTTTTTTTTTGTTTTCCTTTTCTGCTAAGTTGGATTTTGATACAGTCCTTTGAAAGTTATGCTTAGATTTTATAGAACTGACCTTGCTGAATTCATACGTGATGATTATTTTTTTAAGCACACCCAAAGCCAGGTTTAAATTGACAAAACTACGTATTTTTGTTAAAATTTGGTTTTTATGTTCAGCCAAGATGGATGTTGATTCCTTTCTTTGAATATTATGCTTGGATTTTGTTGAATAGACCTTCCTGAATCCATACGTCTTGT